AAATTGTTCAGCTGATCAGTTGATGCAAATTGTCTGAACAGCGCTCTTGCCAGCTTTCTTGTTACGTTTAGCAGATACAAAGCTGGGATCAAACTTGATGCACCACTTTCGGGTGCAAAGAAATTGAGAAAGACCCAATCTGCACTCAGCTCGCTTCTTGGTAAGAGCATCACCAAGATCAAAGTCGGAAGCAACCCAACGAAGTTCACCTGCGGCTCGACGCAGATTGTCTCGAAGTTGGAAAGCTTGAAGAGCAGCTCTCATGTTGCTAAGCCCCAAAAGAGGGCTCTCATTGATCTCTACGGCGTCATAACCTCCACGGCTATCAGTGCAAACGATTCCTCGAAGAGCAAGAACTTGCTGTTCCTGAAGAGCCACCAAGTCTTCCCGAAGGGGACGATCAGAATCGCGGCCGCCAGCGCCATGAAGCTCGCTCCACAGAAGGCGGGTGCGAAAATTCTGGTCTTCGGATTCCAGCATCGCTTGCACTTCAGCATCATTGCTCCCTATCGCCTTTCTTTTTAACTTCCATGTTCGCCATGCGACAAGGTTCATGTCGCATACAGCGCCATCAACGCTTTCGGGTCCAGACAGGAGTGTGACAAGCCCGCCTGTGGAGTCTCCACGAGGCCTATTAGAATGGGCTTGATCTCCCATAGTGATGATCACCATGTCCGCCCAATGTTTGACGCTATCGAACTTCTGGAACTCAAGGACAGTAGGTTCACGGCGAACTTCGCAGATCAGCTCTTGAACCTCACGGGCAGTGTCCATAGTACCTGAGGTCACAAGGTCCGTGAGCAGGAGATTGCACCGGGCGCACAGCTGAGGTTGTGTCTGGACAGCAAGCCACTGAAGAGCACCCAAGCTGGTCCTGCAGGCTTCGATGTCCTTCTTGTCGAGAGGTCCACTGGAACGCAGTCGATCGACGTCAATGTCCAAATCGGGCACACCGTCGATGTAGTACTGCTGGCTGATACGAATCTTGAAGATCCCAGTGGAGTCGGAGACGGAGGAGACATCGGTGCCCGCATGCCTATAGCTGCCCACCTTGAGCATTCCCCAGTTGTAGGCTTGATTGATTCGAGCCTTCACCTCAAGCCATTCTGGTGAACCATCACCAATTCTATGGAAGTCATCGACATGACCACCCATAGCACCAATGATCTTGGGGAACTCACGATTGCCGAGATGGTCCTTGGCAGTTTTCGACGGCCAGACCCATAGGCAACGTTCTCCACGAACTGGTTGGGCGCCCAGTGAGGTCAACGTCTTGTGAAGATCCAACCAAAGGCCACGTGGAGCAGTGGTGCTTCCATAGATGTTTCTAAGGATGCGCATGATCCCCTCCTCGCCAATGCCCAAGGCCTCACGAAGCTCTCGCACACCTGTCGTCCAAATCTCCTTGTCAGCCTCAGTCGCCTGAGTCTGGAGAAATGCAGTGGCAAGATCCAAACCTTCTAAGGGCCATTGATGCTGTGCTGACATGCTGTAGAGGAGGTTCCTTCCAAGGGTGGATTGCACAGGGCTCGAGGTCTTGAAAGAAGGATCGAGAAGACTGGGATGTTCGAATCCCAAAAGGACAATGCGTGCTTTAGCCTTTTTGGCTCCATCACCTGTGAAGACAGTCTTGGGATTGTCCTGGGCGTCCTTCTTGGCATCCTCCAGCTCCTCTAGAGGTGTTCCCTTCCAAGTCAACACCCAGCGCGCTCTAACGATCCGCTGACTATCATACGCCTTTTTCACTTCAGCGTCATCAAGACATCGTCGAACAGCCTCGTGCTTCAGGAACGAGTCCACTTCCTTCGTCTTAGCCCGAGCAAAGAGCTCCTTCTCGCACACTGGCAGTCGCACCAGAGAGACCTCAGAATCTCTCATTTTCTTGGCCAAGTACAGAAGCGGATTCCTCTCCAAGGCCTTGCGTTGGCGGTTCGACGTCGGTGCAGGCAGATCAAACTCAATCTTGAGGCACTCAGGAGCATCCAGGAATGCCGAGAAGATGTCCATATCTTGGGACTCAAGTTCCGCCTCTTTGTACATGAGCTCAACCCAGTCCAAGGTGCGAGCACGCTTGTTGTCGCCGGTCTCGTAGTCGTTGACGGCAGCAGGCTGTTCAGGAGGTTCTGCACTGGGAGTGGGAAGCGCCGAAGGCGAAACATTCCGCTTCGAGGATGTAGCCGGACCTTCAATCTCCATGACACCTGGACTGCGAAACACGTTTGTCTTGCGAGGTAGGCGACGTGTTGGAGTGATTACTGTCGAAGGTCCAGGTTCCGAGGGAAGGTCAGGTAACTCTACCTCATCCGCTGTAGGAACTTGGTCCGTTAAATCCTGATACTCACGCCGAGGTAGAACTTCAGCAAGGGACTTCCAGGAACTCATATCCTCCTGACCGGATGTCTCGTACTGGAAGCGCTCCACCTCATTGACATGCCTCACGGAGTGTACGGAACAGCGGAATAATTGAGATCCCACTAGGACCCAGACGATATGTCGGCGGTCATCGTCTGCATCTT